AATCGCTGTTAAGTACATATACGCCAGTTTGGTAGTATTGTTGTTACTATAATGTTGACAATACTAAATGTTTATGATATTGAGAAGCTTATTCGAAAATGGTTTAAATGTAGTAAATGATCTTAATTAAGAAAAACACCATATTCATTGCATATAAAGGGATAGTAAGTTCCAAACATATGGTCATCAAAGTTACTTTCTATCATATAATTTGGATATGCGAAAAGAGGTAAATTAGATTTGATAAAATGTACGCGAGCTATGAGAATGTCTTTATAAATTTACGGAAAATCGTGAATTGAAAATCATGAAGATGAAATCATGAATGTGAAATCTTGGAAGTTTTGGCAATTATTCAGCCAGACGGAAGTAGTGTTAATAAAAAGGACATAATACAATATTTTGTTTCTTTAAGAGGTTATTATTGGAGCAATACTATTTTACAATATTCTCTTATCGAGTTCAATATATTTTGTTTTAAGCTAACAAATCAATTGTTGACGGGGGAGTATTGGATTCTTTCACCTAAATTGAAATATATGATTTAACTTTATTTATTGGAGTGCTCATAACTTGAGTGAAATTGACATTTGCAAAATTCATCACTGACATGCAGGAAAAATATTTTACAGCATATGTATATGGGAAAATGGAAACACAACCACAGAAAGAAAAGAGATTTGCACAATGTATTTCAGAAGAGGTTTTGAATTCCCGAAACTTTTGTTATAATGGCATTTCAAAGCATAGAATACTTGACGTGATGTTCAAGGAAACAAAAAATCCAATTTCAAATCATTGTCGGTGTTCATAAATTATATTCATATTAAAAACATCAAAGAGACATTTTGATGAACTTAATTATTTTTGTCTTTCTCGAACTTTCTTACGTAATTATTGTAACGAAAGTATTGTAATAGTGCACCGAAAAAAAAAAGAATTTTCGACACAAAAACTCTTATTGCCGGACCCTGGCAACGAAAAAGTGGATAAATCCAGTTTTTAAATGTAGCAAAAATCCTCCAACATGTGGTGTAGCCAGAAAACATGTTTTAGACGTTCTTCTTACCGAAAAATCGATTGACAGCCAAACGTCCGACTGTCCGTCTGTCTGTGCAAAACGCTAGTGCATAAACCGTTCAGCCTATTTTCTCCAAAATTGATATTCCGCAATCGTTCTGGCGAATGTCGCCTCCCATATACTTTGAAATCGATATTTTAATTTTGGGAGGAGTTATATATGACGCTTTTCGAACAGTTCCAAAATTTTCAAAAAAAAAAAAAAGATTCACATTTTTGATTATATTTCTGTTAATGATTAATTACTGCACAAGTATCACAAGAAAAAGAGACTATAGTCACCTGAATCATTATCAACAAAATCATCATAACATTATTACAATAAAAATAATTTGTAGGGCGATGTATTACTGAATAACAACAGAGAAATAATTTTAACTAATGGAAAAATAAAAATTTTAAGTAACTTTAAGTAATCACCTTTGACACAATTTCTAATTTCTTCCCAGATATCATCATTACGTGATAAATGATAAATTTACACATAACGTTTAAAAAATTGTGATCTCTCGTTTGTATATTCGTTTCATTTGATAAGGTCTAGGAAAAGGAAATAGCTTCATGTCCACTGTAATGTGCATCTCAAAGATATAGCTGAAAATAGAATCCGGATGAAATGCATAACAACGGGAGTCATTCATGATTCATACATTAAAATCAACTTGTTAAGGGTAAAAATAGAAATGAACATTACACAGAAAAAACATCTCAAAATTTCCCAGATCTTCCTTCACTCTTAGCCAAGCATGGGAAGACTTTAAAAGATCATGAGCTGAATGCGATTAATTAAGGTGTAGTAAAAGTTGGTTTAATTGCACTCAAACGATAGACCAATTCGCAAAACAACTGAGACACATTCACCGCGAGAACCGTATACGAAATGAGATTAATGTTTCATCTCAAAATTTCCTCATATTCACCATAATCAGAAGAATTACAACAATCTTAATGCCTGAGAGAATATTGACCTTATTGTGAGCTGCATACTAGGCAATAAAACAGATACATGTGAGTTCAGTAGAACGAAAGCCGAGTTATCAAATGCATGTATGTAATGGGTATTGCGTGTTTGGAAGGTATACTTCTATAGATCTTTACGACTTGTCAATCGTATTTTTAAATAATTTAATTTGTGTACCGCGCAGCATGATGTAACTAAAGCCACACAACGATGCGACACCACAGAACTTTCTATGTGATTCATGCTCTGCAAGTCTCTATTCCATACATTCAATCAATTACCCTGCCAGTGGCAATATGCTGCCACGACAGTAAATGAACATTATCATAAGAGCGGTTTAATATTATAAATGACACGTCTTACTCATTGAAATAAAATCTTGCAAGAATTACGAGATTATTTCAACAATTCCTTTTCCACCCTATCGGGTTCCTTTTTCGATCGACCGTAAGTCGTCACATCGGTTAGTCTCTTCATTCAAACCTCTCTCTCTCCCTTCCTCCCTCTCCCTCCCTCTCTCTCCCTCTCATTCCTCTTCTCTGCTCCCTCTCTCTCTCATTTCCGCTCGTCTGTTCCACTCTAGCTGGGGCCATTTCTTACCGCCTCCCCCGCAGAGGCGGCGCGGTGTAATAACTTACCGTCGTCGCCGTCGTCGTCGGCGGCGGCGGCGGCGGTCGGCCTACGCTCAGTGCCGATAGCCCCTCTCCGCCGCCGCCGCCGCCGAGGTGGTCGCCGCCGTCTCCGCCTCCGCCTTCGCAGCCGCTATATTCAGGAAATGAACAGCTTGTTTGGATTTGCGGGCTCTCAATGGAGGCCGGTTTCAATGCGCGCGGATGGATATACGGCTGCGATACGCCGCCGGGCGCCGCGCCGCCGCCGGCTCTGCGGTTGCCGGAGACACAAGCGGCCGCGGCGTGGCGTAGGCGGGGCGGCGGCGACGGAGGTGGGGAGGTGGGGAGGGCGAGAGCGTGTGGGGGAATGTTGGGTGCGGCGCGGATGTGCTGGATGCAACGCGAGCACGTTGGGTGCATTGCGGGGATACAATGTGAGGCGCGGGGATATTAGATGTGGCATGGGAATGTCGGGTGCTGGGAGATCGGGTGGGTGGATGTCGGGTGCGGTGATGCCGGGTGCGTGGATGTCGGTTACGTGGAAGTTGGGTGAAGGAATGACGAATGCAGGAATGTCGGGTGCGGTGAAGTCGGGTGAAGGAATGACGAATGCAGGAATGTCGGGTGCGGTGAAGTCGGGTGAAGGAATGACCGGTGCAGGGATGTCGGGTGCGGGGATGTCTTGTGCAGGGATGTCGGGTGTGGGAATGTCGGGTGTGGGAATGTCGGGTGTGGGAATGTCGGGTGTGGGAATGTCGGGTGTAGTTCGTGAGTCCGGGTTCTCGAGTTCGGGGTGGCACTTGCGTAGTTGGCGGGTGTGGAGCTGTCAAGTAGGAGGATGTTGGACGTGAAATGTAAGAAGCAGGCACGACGGATATACAGGGATGTTGGACGCACGTCATGGGACGGGGTATCGGGCGTGGAGATGTCGGATGCGAGAATGACGCGGGCAGGGAGAAGGCGACGAAAGCCCTCCGAGGAGGGTTTGGATGAAAAATGAAGTAACATCGAATAGTATGTGCAGAGGAGTTGGAAGAGGTGGCAGAAACAAACGAGAGAGCCCACGCAACAAATGAGAGTCCACGAACTGAAAATTAAGTAAATGTGAGGAGCTGCGAATCAGCGAATGCGAAATAAGCGATGTTGAACATAGGCCTCACGTTTTGGGTGCGGCGTTCCGGCATGTCGGGTACTGCTGTTTCGCTGTAGATGTGGTAGGAAAGTGTAGAGATGGATAGGTAAAACCAGGCATTTGTAAAGCAGGTGACTGGAGAGCAGTTAAGACAGTGCACGACGGGGAAGAAAATAACAGCAGGTCGGGGAAGAAAATATCGCACGCGGTCTCTAGCCTACTATATCTTAAGATACTGCTACGGCATTCGCCTGGTTTTGATAAATACGCTTACCGTGATAAGGTCCAACTCCTAAAGAAGACGATGATGGGAAGGATGATAGGTGTGGAAGTGATGGGGACGATGGGGTGACAGAGTCTGTGCTACAGGCAGTAACAGCAGTGACCAAATTCATCCCCATATTGAATTCTGCGTGGAAGCGAAATATTGCCGTTCCTTGTTTCAACATCGCACACAGGCATGCGTTTGAAGAGTTTTCACTAACGTAGATTTACTGTAGATAAAGTTTTATCATCATGGTGCCCATTAGTCTGATCGCAGAGTAACCTTACTCAGTTTTGGAGCTAAAATTCAAAATTATAATTACAGGAAGAAAATATAAACATTTTTTACATTTTGCATCCTAAAAATATGAATATAAGTTAAAATTTTAAAAAATGTATGTATTTATTATTGTTGTTTAAAGGAAAACGTAATAATTGTATAAGCTTTTATATTAAGTTTCTTTTCTAATAATTATAATAACTGATATTAAATTCAGTCAAAAGGAATTAATATTGAATTTCATTATTGAACTTTTTAAAGGGACAAAAATGATAATTACTTATTGACAGAATAAGAAATTCCTTTTTTCGGCTCAAATGTAAATTATATAAATGTGCATAGTTGTGAGCAAATTCTATTTATTACACTTATTGATTGGCGATCTAAAAAGAAAAAAAAATAACAATGTTCACATTCACACATTTTGGCCTTGCACAAATAAATAAATCTTTCAAGTAAATTATATTGTAAAACGGATACACTTTCAGCTTTTTAAGTTGGCATGACAGAATCTGTTCTGGTATGAATATCACCACAGAATACAGGAGATATTCCTGGAAATATATCAAATGTCTGTTTTGCATTTCAGTCGCTCCCATGACGGCTGTCACGTAGCTTCTTTTCTGGGCATTCCGTTTTGTATATTGTACTTGGCGCTTTGTTTCATATAGCGTGTTATGGCAAAGGCATTTATCATGAAAATAGTAGTAAATTCCATCAACACATTCATAAGGAAGTTATTGTGAATTCTGTATTACACCGCTATTTACATTTTACTAGAAATTCTGTCCAAACATTTGCTTAGATTGTTCATATATCCAATTGTTAATTGATTCTCCTTTTCCAACAATATACAGAATTAACTACATTAATTTCTATTGATAACGATGTATTAGTACAATAGAATACAATTTAATATAATTAGGAGAAGCTAAGTTTAATACCAGATAGCACGTATACGCATGTACTTCTAGGTTTCTGTAGTGTAAGAACTCATTTGTCAGACCAACTACAAAAATAAATTAATAATAGGGAAACTACCTTAAGATACATTTAAAATTAGAATATTTTTCACTAAAGTATTCTATTATTACATGTTCTGACTCATAATTGTCGTCTACCCTCACAGAAAACACTTCTGCAGCGCTTCTTAACTATTGTAATTTTGAAGCGAGTGAACACAACGCATTTTAATTAGCCTCTTCTCTGAGAACCTATCCTTAGGAGCTTGAGACACGTTACATATAAGGCACTCATATTTTGTATGTATTTTAACCATAGTTGTGTGTGTTACTATTTTTAATTTAATGCATGAAATTTATTCAAAATTTAATTTTTACTTAATTCTAGGAGTTGTTGCAAAATAAAGTAATCAATAGATTTTAAATGACTCGCTTGTGCTGCAACGATTCCCAGAGATGCAGAGTGCAGTGTATCCTTAAAGAAGGGAAAAACGAAAGACTCGGCAGTTATTTACATTGCAAGGCCAAAAAGTGGATTACACGTATATCAGTACGAGTTGAAATTTAAAATGAGTACTACAAATAAACACTGCTAGGCTGTGTGACAGATGTTTATTTCACACTAACATTTAAAATTCACCTGCAAATACAGAGAACATTTTACAATAATGATGACAAAACGAGGAGAACTGAATTAAGATCAGATAATAATTGGAATAAGGAGGAAATGAAACCAACATATTAACATTGTTTATTCGTCTTCTGGAATGAAGTGGAACAGTGATTTGAGTTATTGTGAGATGTTACTGTGTAATTGGCAATGCGCGTTATTGACAGTAACGTAACAAGATTCCAAATAGATGATATTTTGTTCTATAAGTGAAAAAGTGAAGTAAAATTGACTGAGTTTTGTTTTGAAAAATAAACGATGAAAATGAGTGTAATTATTTAATTTGCTTAAAATAATCTGTAAACTGATCTGTAAAAATCGGTAAACGTGTTGAAATGATCGTTACTCTACCACAAAAGACAGCATGGTTGAGTGAATACTGCATTGTCAAAAAGGTTATAAACCGACTGATAGGACCGCTGGCAGTAAATATGTTCAAAATAGTGTTCCGTGAAAGTGTGCTCCCAAGTGAGACGGTAAACTGTGATCATTGACTCTTCTCCAATAGTACAATCCTCAGTGAAAAGTAAAAATACATGCAAAATATAGTATAAAAAAGTAAATCGAATTATCGAGGTTATTTTATCATTGTATTTGAATCACAGAAATAATTTTGAGGGAATGTGCCTATGCAGGGATTGTTATATAGTGTATGGAATAAAATAAAATATACCAAGCAATTCGAAATTGAATGATAAGCTCCAGCAATGAGGTCCATCAAGGATTTTGATTACTAGGAGTTGAAGGTACTTTAAAATTAAGATATCGAGGTACGATATTGCATGATACGCGCGTTGGGGTGTCCGAAGGCGATGTGAAGAATTCTTTCTTATAGGGCGGTCTAAGGGTAGCGACGAGCTCGAGAGGGCGATCCACGCTCCGAGAATAACTGTGGTCGTCATCAAGTGCTCAATTGAAAGCCTTCTGCACTACGGTGACTCCCTCCTGAAAAGGAAAAAATGGATGTAAACATGTGTTAAACATTAGCGTAAATAAAATTTTCAACGGAAATTAACTCTTCACTAAATACGCTACTAATAATCTGGAGAGAGTATTTAACTCTCTTGAGATAACTGTATCTTTGCTGGATTTATATTATTAATACATATATGACATTCTACTTAATATAGTATTACTAATTTCGAATGCGTTCAGAAATTTAAAGGAAACTATACAGCCACCGGTCACGTGAGTGGTATCTCTGGTTTTGTTAGACATCCAGGAACACGGAAAGAATATAAAATTAATGAAATATAGCTTTGATATTGACTGAAAAATGTAAATATTTGATTGTATTATTTTCCCTATTCTCAAACTGTGAGTTCTGACTTAATTCTCATACTGCGTAACTAATTACGACGCAGGTGAAGACATTCGACTGAAAAGTTTTAAGGAAGAGACCACCTACCATTAAATACCATACTTGCTATTTACATGTTGCAATATGGATTAGCAACTTTTTTTGTTATTCTTTGTCTGTAAGTAACTGTTGTAATGGGTATCTCTTGATATTATACACTGTTATTGCAGAGATTGTGAAGACTGTCATTATTAAAATATTTAATTTATTACAGCGTTATACGAGAGTATTTTATTTCTTGTTCTTGAGCAGTTTGCGTGCTACCTTTTGGAAAACAATGTTGTGTGTTTCTGTTCGTTAGCATTTTTGATGCTGCAGGCCACTAGTACTGGTTCTAGTTTTAATCAATCTTATTCTACAAAAGTTTGCTTTTGATCGGAAAATAGAATAAGTATAGTAAAATGTATATGTCTGTTTGACAGGTTCTGTTCGGTTAATTGTGAATTCCTTTCCCATTTGACTGACTAAACACCTTCTTTAATATCGTGACAGATAACAACGTGATTGTAAAGACAGATTGATTTGACAAGATGGGTACCATGAAGATCGTGTATGTGGTAAGGTGATAGTGACATTGAGAGTAACAAGTGAAGCCTTGGCTGTGAGTATACGGACGGCTTTTATGGTACAAAATATAACATTATAGAGAAATAGATGGACAAATTTTCGAAAACTGATTCGCTTCTTGGGAACACAAAAGTCACGAGCACTGCTCATGCTGTAAGAGTGCAGATATGCAGATTGGGATGAAACAATGCTTTCAGAAATTTTCGAGAGAAATTGTTGTAGATAATGAAGTGTACGGACGTTGTGGACAATTGCAGCGGCGAAGAATTATACATTATAATCTCACGATTCGTGACTAAAACTCAGTGACGTCGAGTTATTTTTTAAAAGCGTTTAAAAGTGAACGGACATTAAAACGACAGCAACAATTATTGTGTATATGGAAATTTAACTTCTGATTATATTACATTACGTTAGATGTTAGGTTAATAAGTTATGATCGAAGAAATAAGAGAAAACTATGGATCAGTGAGCCCAATTTGACAACATATGCCTAATGGATGCCTCGTGTAGATCTGATTAAAAGGCCATCTACAGAGTGACGTAACGTCGTTATAACTGTACAAATACACAAGTGTAAAATTTTTATTCAAGTACACAGCGTTACGAAAATGTTATTTCTAAATTCTGGAATCGGGCTCATCACGTGCGCTCTCTTTACTCTGCCTCTTCCTCGCCGTCGCGAACTGTTTCGCGTCACGCGCCCTCCCCAAGCCTTTGCCGAAACGAAACGACGCAACTTTCGCCATTATTGCGGACACCGCAGTTAGATTCGGAACGTGCACTTTATATTGCCCGCCATAAAGGGCGAGACGACCGAGCGGCTTGTCGGTGATGGGAGGGGCCGAGGGGGAGGAATTGAGGAAGGGTGGAAATGACGTGGTCGCCTAGGTCGTTCTCGTGGTGGTCTTCCGCGGTGTGTTGCGGTATCGTGCTTCGTACTTCACATACACCGCTCCCACCGCTTCGTGTGCTTCCCTTTTGATGATTATTGTGACGATGTACATTCATTTGTGGATCAGAACACTTCACTACACAATGCTCTGGCCTCTTCCCGACTTCCTAGTATGCGGTACGGAGAAAAGACTACCTTTCCCAACTTCCATTTTTAGAGGTTATTTTACTTAATATCGGTTTAAGATATTCCCGCCCATCTTCGGCGTTCTAAGGTAGACCATATGCCCTTTCTCTTTTTACTTTCACACACTTCGTAAAATAATAAAGTTACGAAATAGTGCGCCAGAAAACCGCAAATTTTCGGCAGAAAAAATTTCTTTCCACATATTGCTCTATCACTTTGCATTTTCAAAATTAAAAAAAAATTGACGTGTCCCTCACGTTGTTAATATTTATGTTGGTCGCAATTTGTTCACATTATTATATTTATGAGTACATGTGCTTTAAATACTTTCATATAAAGTTTCGCGAAAACTCAACCACTTTCTGTGAAAACTAGCTCAAAATTTTGCATGTTGAGAAATGTTCAAATGCCATTTTCTCAAAAACGGCTCGAAGTATTTTCTTCAAACTTTTCGGAAAGCGTTCCACTATTCAAAAACCGAAAAATTGAAATGGCAGCTGGCAAGAGTATGTGGCGAATCCGAATAGCTTGCCGAGACCAAAGGAAATATAAAAATAATTCAGGACAGACTGTGCCATTCTGTAGCACTACAACTTACCATTTCCTATACGTACGTATATACGGAATAATAAACGGAGTATAAAGAAAGTTATGTAATGCTACGCAAAGAAAAACAACGGCGGATTTTCGGAAGAAAAAAATTCATTGCTGGGCTCTGATAACGAAAAGTAGATAAATACAGTTGCAAAATTAAAGAAAAAATCCTCATAGGAGTAGTGTAGCCAAAATCCCTGTTTTGTGGGTATTTGACGCCAAACAGACGGACACGGACGGACAGAAATCTGTCCGTCTCTGAACACTACTAGCGCATAAACCAGGGTTTTGTTTTCCAAATTGAAGAAACCCGTGTCGTTCTGCCTCGTGTCGAAGCTTTGAAAAACTTTCTTTAAAATTTGGGGGTGCTTTAAATGAAGACCCGCGGACATTTTCAAAATTGTCTTTAAATTTCTTGTAAGAATAGCGTAAAGTAGACATAAATGTTGCTTAAATTCTGCGCCATTTGTAGCACCACTAGTTTTCTTTGAAATATTATTCATATTTTCTCTTCTAAACACGAAATAACTGTCTTACTTTGGATGAGTGGGTGGGGTTTCTATCTCCTTTGGTTACAATCTGAAGGAGACTGTAAATTAACATTTGAACATGAAGGAAGGCATGCTTCAATAGAAGTTGTGTGAATCTTTGTCCATTTATTGATATTTCCTCGACTGATCTCTGTTTGAAACTTTGTTTTGATACACTATTAGAAGATTGCAATTAGACGATTAGATTTGTTGCATATGATGTCAGGAATTCATCTTTAAATATGCTTACATTAAAGAGCAATATACCTATGGAACCCATGAATAATACTTTTCTGCAGCTTCATTTACTCTCACATTTTCTTCCAATATTTGGTTTCCAGCACTCTCCAAAGTTTTGGGTCGATTTTCTTCCCAGTTTTGCCCTCCTTGCTGCGAGTCATTGTACTGGGAGACAAATACTCCTGCAAATAATCTACTGGATCAGAGATTGTATTTTAAAACCAAGGATAGCTTTCCACGAACAACCCTGTTGTAACTTGGGAGTATCAAGGAACATGTTATTTGTCCCAAAGTACAACAGTACATAAACGAGAAAAATGTAGCATGCAATACTGTTTAAGGCTATATGTACCGTAGAACTACCACTACCATCATATAAAGCGTATTCCAAAGGTAAACAATTTATAATTGATACTTAAACGTTAAACTCAAACATAAGAATGAAAAATATAGAAAACGAGAAGGTAAGGGTAAAATATAGAGCAATTTACAGCAAATGTAGAGCAACTTACAGCAATTTTTATTTTTCTAAATAGCAAAAACAAATCTTGAGGTAACACAGTATTTCTGATCTACTTTCTAGAAGAGGCAGAATGATCAATTACAACACGTCTGTTAGCTTATTATGTACTAGATGTCAGTAGAATGCAATTTGTCCCAATGTGAAACTGATCCAAGCCAAAACACCTGATCCTACTTTTGCTTAATAAACCAATATTATAAAAACGTGTTGTATGTTATTTATACAACTTCACGCGGGATTTCTCTCTTCAGATACCTCCTCCATCACACACCGCCGCACAACACAACCACCCAACAACCATACAGGAAGAAGAAAAGAAAAGGACCACCTGCAGTTAAGATTCGGAAACGGTTGGGCACTTTTTTATATTGGGCCCCCGCCATAAAAGGGCGAGAACGACCGAGCGGCTTTTTGTCGTGATGGAGGGCCGAGGGGGAAAGGATTGAGGCAGGGGTGGAAAATGACGTGGTCCGCCTGGTCGTTTCTCGTGGTAGGGTTGCTTTCCGCGGTGTGTCTGCGGTATCAGTGCTTCGTACTTCACTAGCTTGTGTGCTTTTCCTCTTTCAGATGATTATTGTGACGATTTACATCCATTTGTGATCAGACACTTCACTACACAGGTGCTCTGGCTCTTCTCCGATTCCTCGTATGTGCCGATACGGGAAAATACGTACCTTTCCACTACTCCATTGTAGAGGTTATTCTTAATATGGTTTAAGATATTTCCGCTCTCGTAGCGTCGGCGGTTCTACCACAGGAGACGCATAATGCCTTTCTCTTTCTATTTCACACCTTTGTAAAATAACTAAAGTTCGGAAATATTGGCGCCGAAAACCGAATTTCGGCAGAAAAATTATTCCACATATTGCTTCTAATCACCTCTTTGCATTTTCCCAAAACTTAACAAAATTTGACGGTGTCTCTCAAGTGTTAATATTTATCGTGGTCACGCAATTTAGGTTCCATATTATATTTATGAGTACATGTGTCTTATACTTTTTACTAAGTTTCGCGGAAAACTGCAACCACTTTCTGTGTAAACTAGCTCAA